AAATCTTATGAGGATATAATAAACTTTTTAAAGCAATCAATAAAAGAAACTCGGCAAATTAGCCTATTTTTTGCTTAAAAATAATTAATTTATGATAATTCTCGCTATCGAAACCAGTTGTGATGAAACCAGTATCGCCATTTTAAAAAATAAAAAGGCGCTTAGTAATATTACTATTTCCCAAATATTAGAACAGCAAAACCGAAATTTTACGGCATCGGGTAAAGTTTATTCACCAGCAAAACAAAAAGGAAAGAAAGTTTATTTTAGTGCTGGCGGTGGGAAAGAATATTAGCCGATCCATCAAAAGAAAATTAAAAGAAGAGGGATTAAAAAAAGTTCATGAAAAGTTAAAAACGGTTTTACCCGAGTTCTTTCATAAGCCACAATGTGAAGATATTGATGATTGTCTAGAATGCTTGGAAAAAAGGAGTCCCATAATTCTCACCTGCACAGTTCATTCTATTTCTTACTGAATAATTAGGCAAGTATTTGCCAAAACCTTACAGGAAAAAAAGAAAATCCAAATTCTGACTAGTGGTTACAAGAAAGAATTAAACATGCTTTACATTAGAGAAGATTCCCCGAAAATTAAAGAAAAAATTCACTGAACTACCCAAGAAATTATTACCCGCAAACGGAAGATATTCAATCATTTAGTCAATCAGATTACCAGCGAGAAATTAACCAAAGAAGAAAAAAGAGATTGCTGAACTTTTTTTCGGGAAGAAATAAAAATAGAACACGAGAACAATCCTTATTATCATTGAAATGTCACTAATTATTCGCAGTTTTTGGATCGGGTAAAAAACCTTTGGGGAGAAAGTAAATTGTACCTTTATCAAGAATTAGTGACTATTTGTCAAGAAAATCAAAATAAAAATATCTGGTTAAGTTTCGACGATATCATTGAAAATGTCTTGCTTTTCGCCAAAAAAGTTGATAGCCAAATCAATTGACCAAATTTTGATTATGTTTTGGTAGATAAATGTCAGGACTTACAACTCAAACTATTAATTTTAATTACCCAAATATTTAGTCATCAGGAGACCAATTTTACTTTTGTGGGCGACCCGAAGCAAAATATTATGGCTTTTGCTGGTGCCACTGAGGATACTTTTCAATTATTGAAAGAAAGGTTTGCCGATTGTGCCCAAATGGAAATATCAATTAGTTTTCGGGTCCCGGAAGAAATCGCGGCGATGGCGAATGATTTCACTCGGAAATTTATGCCGCACAAACCAAAATTAACTACTAATCAAACCAATGGTGGAAAAAAGCCGGTGGTTTTTCTGGCCGGTGCCGAAAAAGATTACCAATTAACTCCCCATGAGGAAAAGGAAATAAAAGAAAAAGTAAACCAAATTAGCGAAGAAGAAAATCAACCCGAGGAGAAAAAAACTAAAAAACTCTCCAAATTAGAAAAAAAGTTAGTGGTCGAAGAAATTAAAGCCAAGAAACTAAAAAGTCAAATTGAGTTTATCCTGACCCAAATTAGCCAACTTGATAAGTCCGCTTCCCGAGTCATTCTCTATCGCAAAAACGAAATTGGTAATTGGTTAAAAAACTGGTTCATTGCCACCAATTATTATGATTTTGTTGTGGTGGGGGATAATCAAAATCGAGTAATTAGTTATATTGTTAAAAAAATCCAAAAGGAACTGAAAGATAAACCGCTTTTAATTAATAAGTTTAAGTCTATCGAGGATTTTCTAATTGGCTTAGGGATAAATTGACGAAACATTCCGCGTTTTCAACAAATAATTGAGCAATTTGACCAAGAGAGAATTTTGGATGAGGAAAGATTTGCAGAAAGTTTAACCGAAGAAGAAATCCATGAATTTACTCGGCAAATCGACCAACAGTTAACCGAAAAAGATATTGAAAATACTGGCAAAACTATTCTTTCTACTATTCACAAAGCCAAAGGGTTAGAGTTTGATTATGTTTTTGTCATTGCCGTGGATGATGGAATATTACCCAATGAAACCAAAAGACAAGAAAGTTATTGAATTAGAGAAGAAGTAAATTTATTCTACACTGCCATCACCCGAGCCAAAAGGGAATTGTATTTAACCGCTAGTTGCCAAGAAGAATGTTCGCGGTTTATTAAGTGTTTAAACCCTAATTTAATTGAATTGCGGCCGAGCAATTTGCGATTAGTGCCAACCAACTCGGATCGAAACCACCATACAACTTTGGTCGGCTCAGTAGCCGAAATAATTGGTGAAAAAGGCGAAGAAGAAGTATGACAAATTCTGACTAGTAATAAGAAAATCAAATTTGAAAAATTAATCAAAAACTGGCAAGAAATAGAAGATTTACAAATTGATATCTATGGAGAGACTGCCGCAAGCATTTATTTTATTGAGGTGAAAAATTGAAGCAAAAGTTTTTACCACTCGGCCCAGGAGGGTCTACTTCGTCAACAAGGAATATTGGAACAGCAAATTCATCGGCAAAAAAAAATCCAAGAAAATTTTTCTTCTTCCAAAGCAATTATTTATTTAATCACTTCTCCCACCGGCGAATTGGCTAATGATTTACAAAATTTTCTTTGAAAGAAAGAACTTACTGAATTAGTGGTGACCCATCATGACAAGGTTCACGGGAAAACGTGGGAAGCCGAATATAATATTAAGCGGATTGACGAATGAATTGCCGAAAAAGAGAAAAAGTAGGGAAATTCAAAAATGCAAATGAAAAATAATGAAAAAACTTATTCTTACCGCCATAACTCGTCCTAAACCGATCTCTACATAACTGCTGCAAAACAGCATTGCTAATTTAGTAAAATTAATTGTTAACCCTTAAAAATTACTAATATGAACCAAATCCTAGAAAGATTAAAAAATAAATTTTTACCGGCTGAACCCGAGTTAAAATTCCGGTATGAAATTTGTAAAGTACAATGC